TGCATCAAAAATTATAACAGGGAACATCTAGGGAAATAACACCTTAAATTTGAATAGTTTCCCTATATTGTATACAAGGAAAGGATAGCTATTCTTACCAACTGTTGTATTTAAAAATATTGGGTAAGGCTGTGTGTTAAGTCTACTAAGTATGAAAATGTTCTCTTCGAAAGAGAAATTCACTTGATGGACACTGGGATTTCAGGATTATGGTAGACATTTTTGCAGTGAATCCCAAACCTGGATGCACAATACCATCAAGCTTGGGGATTTGTTAACAATACAAATTGCAAAACTTCCTTCTGAACTAATTGAAGCATCGTTTCCATGTGTGATTGCTCATCAAAAACCACCTGTGAAGCCCTTAAAAAGCAAAAAAAAAAAAAAAAGCATATCCACATGTCTCATCAACCTTACTATAATCAGTCTTTTTTGAGTCTCCTTCATTTTGAGGTATTTAAGTACTCAATTAAAAATGTATTATGCATTTACATGAATTAATCCAGTTTTGAAGATACCGTGATACTGTTCTGTTGGCATCAAGGGAGCCTGCTGGTGCTATGGGATACACCATCAGACTAACCTCAAGGCTGCGGCCCTGTGAGTTGAGGGTTGCCCCCTCTGACCTTTCCTTTGTAGTGTGTCGGGCATTTGCTCACACATGTTGTTCAGTGTTCAGTCAAGGACTCGAGGGCACCTTTCTCAGACCGCTGGAGCTTTCTTTGTCACTCTCTATGCTAACTCTAGTCACCTTGACTTCTGAGATGCCTCTTTCCAATCTTCTCAATGCACAGACACGGCTGAGTTCTGCCACGGTTCCATTTCTTGCACTGCGCTCTGGAACTTAAGCAGTAAGCTGGTGCCATCCCAAGATTTCCATTTCTTTTTCCTTTTGTAGGGATCACTGTCCTACACTGCACGATGTCCCCTGTCTAAAAACATTGCTTCTACCGTTTCAGCTTTTTACAATGTTTCAGTAGGGAGGGGAAATCCAATTTGTTACTCCATCTTGACTGAAAGTGGAAATCCAATTCATTTGTCTTTGTTCTCCCATTGAAAACCTTTCTTAATGGCATTTACATAATCACTTATGCTTGAGTCCACAGAACTAATAATTTCAAAACACCGACATTACTAACAACTACTGAATGTAGTTCAAAAATTTGCCATTAACATTTGCAGCACATCTCACTACATCTTGACAGTCAAAAGACAATGTTTTTAAGTCATTTGAAGTAATCTATCTGTGGTTATGCCACAAACTGAGTCATTTGAAGTAATCTATCTGTGGTTATGCCACAAACTTGACAGATAATTAGATTTTGCTTGTTTCCATTTGCTTCAATTTTTAGGAGTTTTTTTCCTTTTAATTATTTATTACATAATAACTAATCTTGAAAATTTTTCAATCTTTTCAGGGATACAAGAACAAACAAAAACACCCTAAAGATAGTTCTAATGACAAGCAACCCGGTAGTACACAGGTTAAAGCGCTCAGCTGCTAACTGGAAGGTCAGCCATGCTAGAGGAGAAAAGACCGGGAGACACACTCCCATTAAGATTATAGTCCAGGACATTTTATAGGGCAATTCTACCTTTTCTTTTTTTTTTGTATACAAAAGTATTTTATTTTATTTTTTTTTCTTTTCTTTTTTAACATTTTATTAGGGGCTCACACAACTGTTATCCCAATCCATACACACATCAATTGTGTAAAGCGCATTTGTACATCATTTCTCAAAACAATTCTACCTTTTCAAATCAGTTTCCTGTAAGGCACACAAAACAGTAACAAAACCAAATGAAAAACCACATACATATATACCATGTTATGTGTGTATATGTGTATGCATACACACACGTAGCACAAGTATTTATGAGTATAAAATCTCTCATTTGCGAGGACCTAATGTCGGGGGTTTAAATGGAGAAAATGTTTTGAGAAACAATGTACAAATGCGCTTTACACAATTGATGTGTGTATGGATTGGGATAACAGTTGTATGAGCCCCTAATAAAATGTTAAATTAAAAAAAAAATCTCTCATTTGCATAACTGTTTCTACTTCCAAATGTCTCCCCCAGTTCTATTAGTTTTTGGTTTGTCATTCTATTTTCTCTCACATGCAGAGTTATCACACTATAAATGTCGCACTATAGTAACCTACAGAGCTCTTAGCCATCCATTTTACCATAATGTAAATGTAGCATAATTTATTTTATCAATCTTCTAGCATTGCTCATTAAGATTGTTTCTAATGTTCTGGTAAAATTCACGCAGGAACAATGAATACCTGTTCATGGTATTGACAATTTTTGCCAATTACCTCTAAATTGTCCAAATGGAATTCTGGACCAAAGGGTAAATGCTTAAGTACTGGGATGAATCGCAATGCAAGATCCCTCCACTGGCAATGCAAGAACATGCTTGTTTCACCAGGCATTGCCAATAAAATCAGCTGTCAAGATCCCGGATGCTCGCCAATCTGATAGACGAACAACTCAGTGTAGATAGATCAAACTACCTCTGTGTAGTTTTGATATGCACTTCTCTAGGGAGCACGATAAGAGTATCTTTTCATACACTGAAGAGCCCTATTATTTTTTGGAAAGGGGGGGGGGCTAATGAACTAGCTGTTCATAGCTCTTACACTACTTTTCAATTGGTGGTTGGCATTTCTCTCCTCAGATTTTTAAAAAAATCTCGATTGTTTATATCTTTTTAACAGATTTTTGATACTTAAAAGGTGAGAATTACCATTTATGAGATCCTTTTTTCATATTATTCCCATGGGTGGGCTGTGTTTCTAAAATTTGTTGCAGAATTCTGTTATCTTTGGGAAGCCCATTTTACTGCCTCCTTGTCTGAAGTACAGTTGTCAAGAAGCAGGACATTGGCCTGAGTTTCTGCCCCTTAACGTAACTGAGCCTTTTGTCTGGGTGCTCAAAGGATTTTTTCCCCCACGTCAACCAGAACGTTTTCCTTCAGAAAAAGTGTTCTTGCATGAAATGTTGTGTTTGCTCAGTTCTACTTTTCTAATTTTCTTCCTCAGGAATGATGACCACATAGAGTATGTCCAATAGTCTGTACCTTTTCTTAAGCCTTTTTCATGAATTTATTTTCCTTCTTTTTATCCTCGATTTCCTTTACAGTATTTGTCACATCTATTTACACTTCTATTCTTCCAGTTTTGTCTTCATTTCTGAATTTTTTCAAGTTATTTGTGAGAGTATGATGACTATATTCTTATCATCTTATCATCTTATTGTTAAGTATACTCATTTCTGATCTTTCCAGTTTCTAAGTTATGCGGTTTTGCTATGGCTTCTACAGTTTTCTTAACTTGGGTGAACATTTTATAGTATTAAGTTTAGAGTTTTCACTTACCTATGTATTTTTACGATCAGCATTTTGGAAAGCTCACTTTTTGCTTTTTCCCCTATGGATTTTTTATGGTGGTTGATTGGAATTCTCTTCTATTGTTCTTATTTAAATAAGAGAGAGTATTTTAAATTTTAAGTTTAGTTTAATTCTAGTTTAGAGTATCACCATCTGACTCATAGTGACCCTTACCAGCAGAGCAGAACTGCCCCTGTGGTTTTCTGAGGTTGTAATAGAAGGCTGCTGTAATGAGGTGCTTTATGGAAGCAGAAAGCTTCAAGTGGTTACTGGGTTCAAACTGCTGACCTTGCAAGGGGTCCTAGGCATCCAAGCTAATATTATCTTCTTTTCATAGTTTTTAAGAGTAATAATATATATTGCACAATTGAAACAGACACACAAAGCCAATGCTATTTTGTTACAGTCACTTACGTTCTTCTTGGCCTTAACCTCTGATCGCTGTAGGGAATCAATGCCACAAGTTGGTTTTCTTGGCCTAAATGTGAAGGAAATTAATTTAGAAACTTATTAACACAATTAAAATACAGTCACTCTTCATCATTATCTAATTTGGAAAGACCTGAACTATCTGACTTTCATCTCATTCCTTTAGGAAAGTACTGTAGAAGTATTCTGCAGGTGTTTAGTTACAAAGAATACAGTATTTATTCATA